ACTGATCACAATACCTTTCCCTTCCCCAGATATCAAATAATCTACTATCCATTGATCTGTTGCAGCTATTTCTAGCCCCCAAAAAATATTTAATAAAACAAACAGACTTTGAAAGATATATTAAGGAGGGAGCAGACTTAACAAGAAAAAGAGAAACCTGAGGGGGTAGAGAGAGGGAAAGAAATAAACTGTAGCGGTACTTACCTTACCCGGGGGCCGGCCGAGGTCCTCACTTCCCGCCGCGCGCAGCTCCCAAATGCCGGCGGGCATGGACCGCGAGATGCGGTCATGTGTTCTGCCTAGCTCTAAGAGCATGCCGCGCGTCTCGGGCATGCTCTTAAAAGGGCAGTGGGAGCCAAAAATATGAAATGTGCTCCCACTGGCCCCTGTCATCCCACATTCCCCAGACACACACATTTTGGGGGCATGGATATGACAGGAGCCAATCAAAGTAAAGTTTAGGGTATTTATACTTACCTCTCCCTTAACTCTCTTCCCTATTGTGGTTTCTGTTTCAGTTCCCTTTAGCGCTTGTTGTGTTCAGTTGTGATTTTCGTGCTTGACCTTGGCTTTGTATCTGACTCCGTTTATCTCTCTATCCCTGTTTTGTCTTGTTTGCCGGCTTACTGACTACTGTGTACCAGACCTTGGCTAGTTTTTGTTCTCACTGTCTCTTTGTTCCCTTGACCTCGGCTTGTTCTTGACTCTGTCTATTCTCTGCTATACAGCGAGTCCGGCCATTCTAAGGTCCAGTAAGTCGTATCTGCTCTGTCTATTGTTGAACTAAATCTTGCGTGTAGGGGTAAACTACCGTGACAAAAACAAAGCAAAACACACACACACACACACAATTAAGATAGCACTCCCAGGACTTGCAATGTATATTTTTAATTAGCTGTAAAAAATAAAATAAAAAATAAAATAAAAATCAATCAACGTTTCAGTCTGTTACACACAGCATTTACACTGTATTTGTTAGTCCCGATGAAAGTCTGTGTGTAACCGACTGAAACGTTGATTGATTTTTTTATCGCTAATTAAAAGCTAAGTTTTATATACATTGCAAGTCCTGGGAGTGCTATCTGGATTGTCTATTTTTGCCTGACAAGCACCAGGCAAGTATATTTTGTGATCTATGGAGTGCATATATATATATATATATATATATAAAAACTTTTCCTTTGATACATCACACCCATTACTTGCAAATAAATTCCTTTCTATAGTAATTATTTCACGAACTTATTCCGTGTTACCGTTAGTGTTGTGTACCTACTATCTTTTAGTTTATGTGGAATATTACCCTATTTATTTCACCCCTGTTCTTCTTAATTAAAAAATTAGTCCTAAACTCAAAGTGCTTCTATTTTCTTATCTCGCATAACCCTATACGTTAGGAGTGTTCTATTCTTTTAGTGATTAATATTATATTAAAAACAAAGTGCCGTTTTAATTTTCCTCTGTATACCTCTTTTCTTTCTACTTGTTATTCTATTAATTACTATCACCTAACTCGTATATTTCAGGCTTCCGCTCACCATATCCATAATTATATGTATATGTATATGTATGGAGAATTTTTTTTTTATCATTTTACTCCATATATGTCCCTCGCCCTCCTCTCATTCTATAGATTTTACAGTCTTTTTATTTTATTTGTTCCTTTGTCCATTCCTCCAGTTCTTCGATAAAATTTTATCAATTTAGTGTGTACCGAACGATATCTTATATTATGTTGTTTGAGTGGTACCAAGGCTGCAGCAACCTTTTTTTCTCCCCAGTCTTGTGTATGATGATAGATCTCGATATATTATAATATTTTGGAATATCTCTTCTGTAATCTTCTTCACTTTACTTGCTTGAATTATTTGCAGTTTTATTTGAAAAGAATACAGGCAAACTACTGTATCTCTCGGAGCGGATTCTGGAATATTTTGTGGTTTTCTATTTCTTAATTTCGTAAGATGATGTCAAACGTAGTAAAGAATTCAAACAAAAAAAAGTTATGTTGTCATGAGTAATGGATTCGAGGATCGTTTTTATTCTGATGTTCTTCATTATTTGTCTATCTTCCATTAAGTTTATTTTCTGTTCCAAGACGTTCATATCCATTTCATTTTTTTCTTGCGCCTCTGTAACCATCTTATACTGAAATTCAATGTTTTCATATTTTTCTTCCATCTTGGTTATTTTTGTCCCAATTTCTTCTATTTGTTGTTTTAGTTGAGATGTACTATAATTGATCTCCCTTTTAGATTAGACATAAGAGTTTCTCCTGTCCTCCATTAAGGATTCTTCTAATAACGAGTTGTCTACTCCTTGTTTATTTTGGGAGAGAAAAGGGATGATACTCATTTATCTTGTTTGTTGTCCATTTTAAAGGGACACTATAGTCACCAAAACAGCTTTAGCTTAAGGAAGCAGTTTTAGTGTACAGATCATGATCCTGAATTCACACTGCTCAAATATCTGCAATTTAGGAGTTGAATCCCTTTTGTTTCTGTGCAGCCCTAGTCACACCTCCCCTGGCTGTGACTCACACACCATGCATGGGAAAAATGGTTTTACTTTCAATTAGATGTAACTTACTTTAAAAGTTCTTATTGCCTGCTCTCTAAAGTGAACTTTAATCATACACAGAATGCTTCTGTGGGGTCTAGCAAGCTATCAACAGTGCAGGGGATAATACATTTTAAATTAAATAGAATTTGCAATGAAGGAAGTGTAAACATTAGCTGACTCTTTATAGGAAGTGTTTAGCAAGGCTGTCCAAGTCACATGCAGGGAGGCGTGACTAGGGTGCATAAATAAAGTTATTTAACTCCTAAATGGCAGAGAATTTAGCAGTGACACTGCAGGGAAATGATCTATACACCAAAACTGCTTCAATAAGCTAAATTTGTTTTGGTGACTATAGTGTCCCTTTACGTTCTCTTTTCTTTGGTATCTTTGCAGTAGCCATTTGTTTCACTGCTTCGTCTAGATGTCCCTTTTTCTTTTATATTCCTTTCTTTTTCTCTCTCTGTTTAAATATACATGCAAATTTATGAAAGTCAAGTCTTTATATTCCCATATTAACACCTTATTATACACTCATGATCTTAATAATTGTACTTGCTTTTATTTTGTAGTTGTCAGACCCTTTTGCACCACGATGTATCTTCCAATGCTGCAGAGGTTTAGCTTTGATTTTATTAACTCCTATCTTCTCCTTCTCTCAGTCTTCACCTTTCAAGTTGGGACCTTCAGTCTCCTGTTTCGCTGCTCAGAGCTTATTGTAGTGAGCTGCAATCTCTTATCGTGGTCTTCTCAGCTCAAAACGCGGCTATCACGCGGTTACATTTGGCTGCCGGTCCGTCAACCCCCTACAGCCCGCCTCCTGATGCGTGTTTACGTCACGTCATCACCGATATCTCCATTTTTATAAACAGTTGGGAGAAAAATGGCTGACTCTAAGCCAGGCATAGGCAACCTTTGGCACTCCAGATGTTTGACTACACCTCCCATGATGCTTTGCCAACATTATGGGTGTTAGAGCATGATGGGAGATGTAGTCCAAAACATCTGGAGTGCTGAAGGTTGCCTATCCCTGCTCTAGACGCATGACCCACTCCAGCAGGCTGAATTGCTTTCTGTTTGAAGTATTCTTTTAAATATCTACTAGCCCGGCTCTATGGAATGACTAGTGTATATTTAAATAAACAAGCAAGCATCTGCAAAATCAGTGCGACCAACAAAACATTGACAGGTCTCAGAGTGATTTCCCACCTTTTCAGATCACACTATTTTGATAAATATGCCCCATTATTTCCACAGTTGCTTGGAAAAGCACCATAAATCCATTATGTTATGTGGTTTTCAACAGAATGAAATAGACTAAACACCCACTATGACATGCATCACGAGAAACCAATTTTAAAATCTGTCATCACATATAATCTGAGTGCAGAAAGTCTTTCCATTTCCTAATGCGTTAAATTACAGTGTATTCACAACATACTATAGAATTATCTATACACGGCTATCGTCATAGTGTACAGGATATTTATTCACTGCTCATCTGCTGAGTATTGTCTCACAGCGTATGTTTTTTGCACGTAAATGTAAGAATATTAAATAGTTAACTTGTTTATATGTATTTTATGCTTTTATAAGGTTTATAACATGATTATTGCTGACTGAAGGGATATTGAATACTTACATAATATGCTGACTGTGACAGACTAAGGTATTTCTTCTATAGGATGTAAGACAATGCTAAATTTCAGGATGTCTTGCCCATTCCGATTTTAAGGATATTCTTTTCCAGACGTATGCAAAAGCTTATCTTTCCATTGTCAGAATAACGTAATATAAGGAAGTAATAAATCTTATAGTCTGTACTGTATTTGCATATACCATGGCTAATGTAAGCAAACTATGTATAAAAGCCAGCTCTGGAATACACTCATTTGAGAGTCTTGTAAAGCTGTTGTCCGTGTGTTATTGCTTACAAATGATTCTCCATCAACGTTGATTATGGTGACCGAGGGATCGAGAACCGAGGGGATTAGAGTCCATTACAACATTAACCCTTTCAGCTTGGTGTCTAGAAGTGGGATAGAAGTTGGATCAGCAAAACCATTTGCGGTGAGTAGCCTTTTTGTGTCTTATTTGACGCTGATTGTCTATGACCCCCCCTTTGGTTCAGTAAGTCTGTATCCAGTAGATAGGAAAGGTGTAAGGACTCTAGTTATATTGAGACCATGAGAGGTCTCCGGTTTATATTGAGACTATAAGAGGTCTCCGGTTTATTAGACATTTGGTCTAAATATATATAGGGGTTCTTGTTAACCCAGGTTAGTATCTAAGATAGATACAGGTTTTTGAGACCATAAGAGGTCTCCGGTTTATTATAGGGTTTTGGTAACCCAGGTTAGTATCTAAGATAGATACAGGGTATCTCAGGTAGATACAGGTTTTTGAGACCATAAGAGGTCTCCGGTTTATTAAGTCTATAGGTGTTCTGAGCAGCACGGTTTGTAGATCTATAAGTATAACCCAAACTTCTCTTTCTCCCGGTCACCTTTGTTTGTCTTAAGTGTTTTTTTTGTGGGTGATTGTTTGTCTATATTGGGGACACACTTTGGTAAGTTAGTAGTGTCCCCACTCTGAGTCAGCAGTATGGGAAATGTGAGTTCATGTCCTGAGTGACCAATATATGTACATGTATATGTGTGTGTATGTATATATGTATATATGTATGTATATATGTGTGTGTATATGTATATGTGTATAAATAAGATAGCAGTACTTTTAAACAAATGGAGGTTTTAAAAATACATAGGGATTAAGGAGAGAACGCAGGTAACTTGTTTTTCTTTGGTTTTTACCATATATTGGGGCTGATGTGTACTGTAGTCCTTGCTGCTGCCCAGTAGTGATGGGAGTGAGCGTAGGACTTATCTTTCTGCAAGATAGCAGTACTGTATATTAGAAAAGAAATGACTCACAGGTTGTACCTGATAGACCTACTTAAATCTTTTTGCTTTATTCTTTCTGTCGCATAGAAGTATAAGTTTATTACTCTGTTTTATTGTAAGTTATTTCACATGGGATCTATGTGCCTGGTATGATTGCTGCTTTAAAAATACCATAAGCCCACTACACTTATTATGAGAGTGGGATAGTGTAAATGTGTTGCATTGTTTGCATGATGAGCTCAGTATATTTTATAACTGAGACAAAAAGTCACTTCATTAGTATTTGGAAGTTAATTCCCCATATGGGATTAATTGTATAGAAACACCAATCAGCACTTCTTCCCTGCCCTGTGTGTTTGTTGCAAAGGATCCATACTGTAAATATAATTTTTGTTTGAAAATAAGAGAGCAACATTTACATTTTCAGCGGTCCAACACATGCTTTATTTTGCACTGTAAACTAACCTTTTTATTGCAACAGGTTCCTTTTAAATGATCCAGTGTAATAACTACTGCTTGTGTCTTCTATGTCTCACATTATGTGTTATTTTAAATTGTGGTATATAGCCTGAATCAGAAATCATGGACAAAGGTTTTTACCTGTGTTACTAAGGGCTCTTGGAGACTGACCGGTCTAAAGGTTTGCCATGCCTTTAAAACATGGTATAGTATAAATTTTTAAGTCTCTGAGAGTTCTGAAAGATTCAGGTGAAACCATGTCTGTTTAATCTGGTCCAGATGTTTGCAAAATTTCTGTAAGATTTAAGTTGATGCAGCATCATCTCAGATTAGTTAATGGTAGTTTTATACAAATAGTTGAGTTATGAGCGCGCTATATAAATGGATCCTTTCTTTATATATAATACTATAGTAGATTAAAGTAATGAAGTTAATTAAGAAAATGTATACATAAGAATCCCTAAAATAAATCTAAACTAAAATTGGTATACTTTCCAATAATATGTTCTGAATACAGCTGTTAACTCTTTATTTTGTGTAAATGGTGATTGTGATAATGTGTGATAAGTGTGCAGTTTAACTTGAAAGTGGTTTAATGTATATGTTGCTGTATTGTTTTAAATTATATGTGAATCAGTTTGTCACAGTCTAGTGATACTGATAAGAATGACAGCCAAATAACCTAGCAAATAACTGTTTTATTAGTTGTTGAATACTAGTGTTTTGGCCAAGAATAGTTGGAGATTTGGAGGTGTTAGTTTAAGATTGCTTTTATATTGTGTCTATCTGTGTTTCCTAGGAGGGAGACAGAGTGTGTAGTTGTGTGCCCATAAATGTGATTTCTGTATTGGCATATCTGCTGGGTACCCATTATGTGTTTCTATAAAGATATTGTTTTGTGAGATGACGTGTAATATTACATGGGATGCTGAGTATGAGTTATATGGTTTGAAATGAATTGGTGATTATGAGCTTAGTACTTCAGTAAGATGTGCTAAAATTTGGAACAAGGTGGAAGCTGAAATGTTGGGATTATGGAAGAATAGGTAGTCTATATTCACTGCTTTGGCATATAAGCAAGATGCAAAGGAAGAGATTGGTAATATGATTTTTGTAAAGAAATTTTACAAGTGTTGGAAGGATGAGGCAGGTTTGATGTCTGGAGATGATATAGATCTTTTTAAAATACAGTCATGCCTTGTTAATATGTTGCCACAGTATTCTTTGCTTGTGAAACAATTGATTTCAGACTGGGCCAATTTGGATAGCTCAGAGTTTCTTACCAAGGTTATAGAAAAGGAAAATGCAGGTTGTTTTGAATTAAGAAAAGATTTAGGAAAGTAAGGTTGCTTATTATGCTCAGGGATTGCCACCTACACAGGCTGAGAGCGAGGATGGGATGGAGCACATAAAGCCCGTGGAAGGGGTGGTCAAAGAGGGGCAAGGGGATGGAGACAGGGAAATCAGGGTTATAGGGGCAGGGGTAACCAAGGAGGAATAGACAGGAACACTTGTTTCAACTGTGGCCAATATGGCCACTGGAGGAATGAGTGTCCACACCCCAGGAAACCCCACACACCCCAACAACCCCACAATTCTCAAAATATGCCCTGTAGGCAAGAACAACACCAGACCCACTCCCAACACCACTGGCCAGCATATCGCTTAGTTCAGGACTTTAGAGCCCTGAATAGTTTAATTGTGCCCATTTCACCCATTGTCCCTGATGTGACATCCCTCATTACAGCCATTCCACATGATGCCACTTGCTTCACTGTCATTGATTTAAGTAATGCATTTTTTTCTATACCTATTGATCAAGAGACACAGCTACTTATGGTTTTTATTTTTTGAAGGCTGTCAGTTTACCTGGACACACTTACCCAAGGCTATGTGGATTCCCCAGCTGTTTATTCGTTGGTACTCCAACATACTCTAAAAAACATGGACCACCGGTCATGGTTCCGTCCTTTTTGCAAAATGTTGATGATTTGTTGTTATGTAGCCCTAGCTCTGAGGCAAGCACTGTGGATACTGTCAGCAACTGTAGGTCACAAGGTTGTTAAACACAAAATGCAATTGTGTAAATCAAAGGTTGAATACTTAGGTTTTGTTCTGGCTTTAGGCACCAGACAATTGAGTCCAAAACGTATTGAGGTCATTCAGAGGATTCCAACACCCACTACTCGGAAGGAGTTGCTCACCTTCCTCGGCATGATTAATTACTGCCACCATGGATCCCTGAATGCTCCCATTATGACTCAATCCTAAGGGAGGCTGTACGTTCTGACAGCCCTGAAAATATCTGCTGGTCACCAGACATGCTAGCTGCATATATTGCCCTTACAGTTGTTATTGTGCAAGCCCAGGCTTTAGGACTACCTGTGTATTGTAAACCATTTCATTTGTATGCTTGGGACAATTGTAAAACCATGGCCGCAGTCTGTGCACAAGAGCAAGGAGGCGGTATGCGTCCCATAGCATTCTTTTCCAAAGTAGTTCAAGCTCCGGTACAGGGTATGCCGGCGTGTCTCAGAGCATTGATAGCATGTGCAATGGCTGTTGAAACTGCTACTACTATCACACTAGGGCATCATACAATACTTCATGCCAGTCACCAGGTCACTCAGCTGATGACAAATCTCACCACACAACACATGACAGCCCAGCGCTTCAGTGGTTATGAGATTCTTTTTTTAAATACCCAGAATCTGTCTTTTGGATTAAACAAGGTTTAGAGAAAGATCAAAATGATCTGTTCTCTAAAGAGGGGAGAATAGGCATACTTGAAGCAAGCTGATTTATTTTCATCAGTCAGGCACATAGCAAGCACCATTCAATTCCTCATGAATTCATTTTATATTAGGAATCTTAGGCAGCATGTACAGTCTTTTGTAAGATCGTGTGAACGCTGCTCTTTTTACACACTTACAGATTGATTTTATTCATGTATCCAAAATTGGTAAGAAACAGCAATACTTACTGGTCATAGTTGATCAGTTTAGTAGATGGCATGAGGCCTTTGTTACATCTAGGGAAGATGCTAGTAAAGATTATTGTTACTGAAATTATTCCCAGGTATGGCTGCCCTCTGCAGATTGGCTCTGATAATGGCCCGGTTTTTGCAAGTGGGGTTGCCCAGGAACTTGCTAAATTCTTGCAAGTTACCTGGCAGTTTCATATACCCTATCATCCACAGAATACAGGGGTAGTTGAAAGGATGAAAAGGACTATTAAGGAAAAGCCCAGAATTTACCCAGGAACATGGGTAAATTGGACTAGATATCTACCAGCTATTTTAGCTGAGATAAGAATGAATCCCCACAAGGTGACTAAATTATCTCCATCTGAGATTTTTGATGGGATGACCTTTTCCCACACCCTGGGCCAGGGAACCGCTTGTTATAATGTCTGGGGATTTACAGCTAATACAAGAACAATATGTACAGGAGTTGTTGATAAAACCGAATGGTATGTATGACAATGTTTCTTCGCAGTTTTCCCTTACCTTCACAGGAACCTACTCATTCATACCAGCCCGGTGACAAGGTGTATATCCGTCAGCTGAACAGGACCAAGAAAGGAGGATACCCTTTTGGACCACCTGCTACTGTGATTGCTGTAACCAGAACCGCTGTCCTCACAGATTCCCATGACATCTGGATTCACGCATCCCGAGTGAAGCTGTGTCCAAAGAGGGGAACCAAGAAAGACAACACCACTCCTCGCTCGGAAACAGAAGAATTTCTCCTCAGCGAAGCATCATGGTTTTCACACCATATCGTAGATTGAGAGGATCATACGTACCTGAGACCAAGATTATGTTGTGCGCTATGCTTTCTGGAGTTGTTATACTCCCTCTGATATTGTTCCTTGAATGCCATTATGAGTACAAGTCAATGGCAAGTTTGAAACCTGTCTGTTTCTGGAAAAAGACTCTGACATGATGAACAATTCTTCAATACCCCCAGCCCAATTAGGCCTTAGCCCCTCATCTAGCATTCGTCACACATGCTCTCTCAAGAACCTTTCTCCACCACCTTTCTATCAGCATGCAATATGCAATCATTCATTCACTGAACGCATTTGGATGAACTGGACAAATAGCAACCCTTATAAGTACCAGTTACCCATATGAAATGTGTCTACAGCTAATGAAACCGATGCATTATGTTTGTTTAAAGGTTCACAGAAAATTGTTAGATCTTATAACGCAGAAATGTGCACAGTTAAGGTTGCATATCAATGTAAACAGACAGGCCTTATTACTTTTAATAATGATTATATAACTGGTATCATTAATCGGAGAAGGGGACAAATGTTAGTCATTATGAAAGACTCTGCAATTGAGAACTATACACTACCTTATATTTTTACACCTTATTACTGTCCTTTATCCTCTACCATAGAACCAAAAGTCAACAACGACACACACACACCTATTCCGTCCACATGTATTAATACAACTGCCTTCTTACAAGCTGTACATGTGTCATTAAAAATCACTACTCCTGTTGTAACATTATGTAACACAACAAACAAAGGCAGAAAAGGGAATGGTATGACACACTGTTAGGAGATGCTGGAACCACTATGTGTATTCTAAATAGTTATAGATATGGAGACCCTCAAGAATAAGTTAAACACAGCCAGCATGCATATAGGGACTGGTTTCCATGCTACTGCAAACTGGGCTCCAACTGTTGTTAAATCACAGGTTACAGGATTGGATTTAGATAAATCAATGTATAACTATTTAGATAATTTAACTGTTGCAACTATGAAATTCACTACAGGTCTAAGTAACTGGAGTACTTGTGCCATCAGGTATTTATGGATACAACAACAAGGATTGGCATTAGAAAACACACTAATGATTCCTAAACTAGAGAAGATTAGAGGAAGGCGTAACCTCACAGATAATGAATGGTTACTTCTAAAACCCCAATCCACTAAATGCAATGGATGGTTAACTGGTAATGTTTCACATTTTTCATGCTCATGCTATTTTACATTATATCATACATCATCAAAGGATGTTAAATTAGCTTGTCAATTTAACACATTACCAGTACCAGTTTATGATCTTTTTGCCAAGAATTTAACCTGGTGGGCACCCACATACACAGGGGACTATATTTTCCCAAAGATAACACACACAGGTAGCCACACATATCCTAAAAGGAGAACTCCTTAAGGTGAGTTCACAAATTCAGAATGATTTAGCCCATCATTGGTACAATGCTTTACTGGTTGGTCCCCTACTGGATCCCAGAAATCATTCTTCTATCATTTTGTTATTATAGTCCTGATTTTATTGTGTATGATTTTATATAACTGTCATCTTACTTGTACATTGAGGAAGAGAGTACAGAAATGAATCCATAATGCAGAACAGAAACAATTAGAAATTCTCCTCTCTGCCACTGGAGGGTATCAACCCATCTTTAAACTGGGCCTTAGGAATTACCACATGGGAATCGAGGTGAAGAAATTAATGAAAGTCCCGCACCCCTGAAAATACCATGTGGAAGTTTCTCTGTCCTGGTAAGATTTTATCGATAAGATGAGCAATTTTTTTATTGCTCAAAGAGGGGAATGTAAGAATATTAAATAGTTAACTTGTTCATATGTATTTTATGCTTTTATAAGGTTTATAAATATTATTGCTGACTGAAAGGATATGAAATAGTTAAACTCAATGTATGACATAATATGCTGACTGTGACAGACTAAGGTATTTCTTCTATAGGATGTAAGACAATGCTAAATTTCAGGATGTCTTGCCCATTCCGATTTCAGGATACTTTTCTCCAGACGTATGCAAAAGCTCATCTTTCCATTGTCAGAATAACATGTAACATAAGGAAGTAATAAATCTTATAGTCTGTACTGTAATGAATGACATATACCATGGCTAATGTAAGCAAACTATGTATAAAAGCCAGCTCTGGAATACACTCATTTGAGAGTCTTGTCAACTATCCTGTTGTCCGTGTCTTATTGTTGGCAATGATTCTCCATTAACTTTGACTTTTAAGTAATAACTAAATAAATTTAACCCCTGAGGGTTAAAAAAAAATTAACTCTCAGGGGTTAAAAAAAAATCAGATCACAGTGAAAGGGAATGGGTTACATTTTATTTGAAAGAGGTGAGGAGGGCATAGGATTTTCTAACATACATTTTTCTTCCCAGGGAGAGGCAGATAAGCACTGATCTGTCTCTCTGCACTTCACAGCTTACATGGAGCTGCAGGGAGACAGATCAGGTTTCACTGCAGCACGTGTGATCACTCTGACTCCCGGTGAAACTGCCTACAGCAGTGTGCCTCAGACAAGGAGGCACACTGCAAGAACATTAACCCCACGATTGCTTCGATTGTGGCAATCTGGGGTTAATTTTAGGACTGGGTGGAAATTTTCCTTCCTGCGTCCTTAAGGGGAGGACTGCAATGACGGAAAATTTTCGTCCTGGGTCTTTAAGGGGTTAATACACGTGTGAACAATGTTTTGATTATTTATTTGGTATATAAAGCCAAAGCCAAGCTATCTGCAAAAAAAGGGGGGCGAGATTAGGCGCTCACTACAGTAATAGACTAAAGGTGGTATTGGGCAGCAGTAATCAATACAAGGATTCCGAACCTTGTGATGTATAGTATAGAAAGAAAGTAAGGAGTGGTTTCCTCCTTCCTTTCTTTCTAAAAGATATCTGCACCTGAGGCAGTTATGAGTTGTTTGTTTCCCAATTTTATCACGTTTTAAGTGTAAATAGTGACATTGCACTTGAGTTGTTTTTAGCAGCACCAGAATCATATCACACTAAGTGCTGCTTTGTCCTTCATTTTATCACTACTTTTAATAATATGCAATGTCAATCAGCAGTTGCTAAGGCCAGTAAGCCATGTATAAATGGGGGAATTAATAAGCAATATGAAAATATAATTTCTCTTTATAAATCATTAGTAAGACCAAACCTTGAAGATGCTGAGCAATTTTGGGCACCTGTTCTAAAGAAGGATATTATGACACTAGAAAAAGTGCAAAGGCAGGCTGCAAAATTAATAAAAGAAATTGGACATTTTAGTTATGAAGAAAGGTTAGCACATTTAAATCTGTTAAGTTTAGAAAAATGGTGGCTCAGATGGGATATGATAACATTATACAAATACACAAACCATTGTCTAGAAATCTATTCATAAACAGTACTATACCTAGGACAGTGGGGCACGCCTTTTGACTTGAAGGAGATTTAGCCTAAGGTAAAGAAAAGGTTTTTTTACAGTATGAATAAGGATGTGGGATTCACTGCCTGAAGAGGTGGTTTTATCAGAGTCTGTACAGATGTTTAAACAGAAAAAGGATGAATACATGCAAATACAATATTCAGGAATATAATTTTTTTTAAATCTGAAATAGATTCTTTATCCAAGGAAAGATCCAATTGCCATTCTAGGATCGACAAGGTTTTTTTCCCCTAGTTTGTCGTAAAATTGTAAAGTGCTTCACGGTATTTTTTGTAAACTGGGTTCTTCTTTTGGATCAGCAGCAAAAATAGATGTGAGAAAGGTTGAACAATGTATGCACATTTCTTTTCAGCCTATGTTCTGTAAATAAAATGAACATTTAATGGGCTGTCCCCTAAATATAAAACAATTTTAGTTTTTAACATCTTGATTGGATAGTAGATACAGCTTAAATGATTGGGCAGACCTGTTGTGCATCATAGCAAACTAAGCTGCCTATTTGCCCCCACCAAAACAAAAAAAAACAATTTCTCCTCCATATCATCCTCTATCATCATGAACCAAAATTAACATATTTGTGCACTGCACTGTGAGTCTTTGTCTCTGTGATTTTGGCATGTGTTTCAAATATTGGAATTTAGGACAAGCAACTGAAAGAAATCTAAAAGTGTATTCTTTGTCTAAGATATTTATTGAATAACACAATAAAATAGATGCATCACTGTGGTAAGAACACTCGCAGGTACATGGAGAATCACGATACGTCATTGCACAAAAAGTTGGTTGTCCTTAGTGAATAGCATTGTTTGTGGGCAAGTATACATCTAAAAAGTCTTGAAATAATAGTACGAACACATCTGACATGCAGACTTAGTTGTTTGTCATACAGTAAGAGCATCCCTTGTTCTTTTAAACAAAAATACATAAATGCATTTTAGTCTTTAAAAGCATCATAAAAACACTATAATCGAACATTTTTAATCAATATGGTAATTGTCTACACATTTATATAATCAAATTTACAGTTAGTGTGTCAAATATTCATATGTAAATATCCTTGAAGGATAGCACAATTTGTGGAGAACAACTGAATAGTAATCCAAATGTTTATCAGTGTTAAAAAACTGAAATAAATAAAAATAACCAGAAAGAAAATTAGAAATATTTGAACTCTAAATAATATATTCGGTAATAAGTACATGATTAATTAAACTGTTTAAATGCAACAATTATTTTGTAGGTTGTTTGAAATATAATTATAACAACTAACATTAATCACCAGCATTGTTTAAGAGAAGATTGAATATTATCAACCAGGTTGTCATTAATATGGTTTAGTGCAGTTTGGACAGGCATTTCGGTAATTCGCTTAGTAATTGTATTTTCAATTGATTTCACATTATTTTGTTGTGTACATGTATGATTGATTTTTTTTTATCAGTTTCAAAGTCATTGTGATTCATCTGAAAGGCATAATTAGCAAAATCAGGTACATCATGTTCTGAAATGTTTAAATCATTTGAACTGTCATCTTTAAAACTTTTGTTCAAAATTGCTGAATTGTTGCAGTCCAATGATTCAATCACTATAGTGTGTGAACATTTTAGTGGTTTGTTATTTTTACAGAGCATATTGTCAGAATGACTACATGTTAGTCTGTTCATGCCACTGATAAATTCAGGTTGTTGGACAACAATTTCTTGTGTTGATCATTATACAACATTGCTTTACAGTGAGAAAGACACAATTTATCTCTGTTCTTAAAGTATC